GAATAAGGGAGAGAGAAAGAGAGAGGGGGGGAGGGAGGTGGGTTCCTACCGGTTCAGCCGAATAGGTAGCAACTTGGCAGCCTGGGTCGCTGGAACCAGTAGCGAACCAGGCCTGCCATGCCCCTGAACCAGTTCTCCTATGGTGGCACCATCTTGTATCAGAGTTGGGGCTAAAGAGCTGTTGCCCCCATCTCGAATGGTATGACTGTTGTGTGTTTTAAATTATGCATTGTTATGCTTTGTTTTTTTAAATTTTTTGTCTGTATCCCCCTTCCCTGGTTTGAGTTGTGAGCTGCCCTGAGTCCCCTTCGGGGGGAAAGGGCGGCATATAAATATAATAAACTGAACTGAACTGAACTGAACCTATAAGGAATAATATCCAAAATCTTAGCAAAAATTATTGCAACATCTATTGCACCAACTAGCACGCAATTCTAGGGTTGCCTTGTTTTGCTTAAGGTCATATTACCACATGGACAAGATAGTTGATAGTCCCGATAGTTTCTTTCTGTATAGAACCCATTGTTTCCTTTGAGGAATGTTTTGACTTCCCAATCTTTCCTGGGATCTCAAAACAGTCTAGTGGTCTCCCATCCAAGAATTAATTGCATCCAGTTCTTCTTGGTTTGAGATCAACCAAATCTGGCTATGTGCTGCCACCTGCTGGGCCACATTAGAATTGGTACATGGGAAAAACTCATCACAGTTGGTGGCCATTGCCACAAACCAGGATTTTAAGTCCATTTGCCATTTATCTGAGGGATGATATGTAAAACCAAACCTTGCCTATGAAAGTAATGCAAATTGGTTACAGTGACCACCTTAGTTCTAACGATGACTATGAAGAGAGTTTAGAGTTTGGAACTGTAATTATTAGGTATCAATCGCTACATAGAACAAGAAGTAGAATATTTTCATATTTCCATTCATTATTATCTGAATCTGTATGTATAACTATATCATTTTTATAAACCCAATCCTTATTTCATCTACTGGTGAATGAAAATAATAGGAGTCATAAGTAGGGTAATCTTTTTGATATAATTTAGGGCTTTATATGATTTATATTTCTGGCCTGAAAAAGATCATATTAGTTATTCACAGTCATACTTCTAATTTCCAAACTCTATGAACAAATAGACTTGTCATCAGCTCTGAAGATTAAATCCATTTTGAGCCATCATTATCCAAGACATCATCTGTCTGTGTGGAATTAAATGGACAAAATCTATAAAATTGATACTTAAATGAAAAAAAAGAAAAAAGGGAGTTTCAGGTAAACTGCCTTTCTTCATAGCTTTGTTCTTGAGTTATATTTCTCAATAATTAACTTGATATGAGCATTCAAATAAATATTTCAGTTTTGTTGCTACACATTCAGGCAGTGGTTTAATTTGCTCCAAACTCTAATATGGTTTTAATTTGGAAAAAAATCTTTCCTTCATTCTCAATTTTTATACCCTCTTTGAACAGATTTAATGTTTGAAAGAACTCATTTTAATTTGTAATATTTAAGATATTTTTACAATGTCAACTGTGGGCATCATGTCCATGATAGCTTGCAGAAAGCCAACAACCAATTCCACACACATAAAGTCAACCATCAATAGTAGAATAATTAAAAGCCCTAGAAATGCCTCCAATATTTCAAAGAGGGGCTAAGAATAGGTCCAATGCTTGAAAAAGCTAAAGACTTTGGATGTCTTCGTTTATTTAATCCACTTACCAGAATTCCCTGAAAGAAGTACAGGGTTACTGAGACATTTTATAAGAGAATCCAAACAATACAATAGTAAAATAATTAATAAATAGAACACAAAAGAACTTGCTTATCACTATGTATGAAACCTAGTATCCCCATCTAACATAGGCACTCAATAGTCAAACCAAAATTGAGTTATGTGGCCTTTATGGAAATGGAGCTTTGGGCTTTAAGACAGTGTCTTGACAGGGAAAAGTCAAACATTTCACCTCTATGTTGGACCATCTTGCTTAGCCCAGCTGCTTTGCTTTGGCAAATACTGTATATCTTCTAGGCATACCCACACATTCATCAGAGATTTTCTGGGGCTGATTTCACAGGTTGTTTTCACACAGCACCAAACACAGGGCACCTTTATGCTTCATGGAGCTGCATTGAAAGTGCGCTTTATCAAAGCCTTAATCAAAGCACAGCATTGTCAGTCCTAATGACAAGATTTGTGCAAGTCTGAACACACTTCCCTCCCTGTATCTTCATGTGAACTATGGGTTTGTTTATTCACATTACATTCCAGCCCTTGACTCATCCTCTACCCGGCCTTTGCCTTGGTAGAGGCTTTTTTCCCTGTCCCTCAAAGTTATCCCTTCTTCCAGAAGTAGGGTTGTTGTAAAATAAAATGGGTATGTGGGATGGTAGAAAAGCAATCTCTATTATATTGTTAATTGTAGGGAGAGAGAAATTGTTATAATTGTTAAAAGATAACACACATTACTAATAATAGTTATGAGATTGTATATTTGTGAAGGTATATATGAGAAATAAAAATAAATGTTTTTTTAAAAAAATCTATCCCTTCTTAATTCTACTCCACTGCAGGATGTAGAAAAGGAGTTACAGGTTTGGAAAACTCAAAGTTACTGACATTTTGGAGTTTCCTAAAAGGAGGTGCTGCAAATGGAACAGAAAAAAAATTGACATTATTCTGCATTGGGGTCAAAGATAGATGTCTCTTTCCTCCCTTTTCTACCCGCTTCATAAACTATTTTCTCTCTTATTATAGAGGAATTCCGGGGAAAAAATGTGGCACCATCATTCTGTCAGCTGAAGAACTGGGCAACTGTAGGGTGAGTCATTCTTTTCTCTTTGAATTTCTGTTCATGTCTTTGCTTTCAAAAAGCTTGTCAAAAGAAGAAAGGAAGCCTTTGAATTCAAAAGACCCAGTGCTAGGGAGTCCCTGATGGTTTAGAAAGTTATTTTGTTAAAGTTACACAGACATGCCATGCTTCATCCGAGTCAGAGATATCATGTTGAGGAAGATAATAAGAGACTCTGATATTATTTTTACTGATGCAGGACCACACATAAGGTATATATTTAAGCAGGTTCCATCTAAAAACTGCCACTCTTAAATGCTTTTATTATATGTCCTGACCCATACACAACTGCAATACTAGTACACTGGAGAGCTCTTCCCCTTCTGGGGGAAAATGCTAGCTTTATGTACAGACCTGTGGATATTTAGTAAAACCATTGCAATTTACTTCTTGATTTATTCAAGCTGCTCAATTCAAGTAAGTGACTCTGGACAGTTTACAATTCTACAATTATAAAACAGTTAAACTATTTTAAAAACTGTACAACAATGAAAACATCTACAAAATAATTAAGGATAAACAGCAGCCATGATGGTTAATCAACTAATACTAAAGCCAAGTAAGAGGACCCTTTACACAATCCAAGCCCCTGGCCTGGGTACATAGCCAAGTTTTCAAAGCTTTGCAGAAAGCCAACAGCATTTGGAGTTATTTTAGTCTTCAAGTAGAGAATATTCTACAAGGCAGGGCTGTAGCAGAAAAAGGTCATCTTCTAGTTCAGGGGTGTCAAACTTGATTTCATTGAGGGCCACATCAAAGTTGTGCTTGACCTCCTGGGACCGGGGTGGATGTGGCCAGCTTGACATCACTCATGTGAGGAGCGCCTGTGATGGGCCAGGCGCTCTGCTAGTGAAAATGGGATCCTGAGCTCCTTTTTCAGCTGCCACAGCCTCCTGCAACCCTCTGCCAACAAAAAGAGAGCAGCATGCAGCCCTCCTGAGCTCTGTTTTCACTGGCAAAAGCACTGTGGGTTGGTCCTTTGCTGTTTCCAGGGTGGCCCTGTGGGCCAGATCTAAGTACTCTGCAGGCAGGATCTGGCCCCCGGGCCTTGAGTTTGACACCCCTGTTCTAGTTCTAAATGAAATACAACAAACTTTCCTAACTAAATACTTTGATAGTGACCAGCAACATGACCTTAGTAGAACTCTCAGCAGGATGTACCATGTTGAAGTAAATCAGATGAACCCTCACTAGTAGATCAGCAGAAGTAAATCATATGCAGAAATGTTAGCTGGACAGCTCCAGGGAGTCATGAGGCTGCAGCAAGATATTTCACCCTGCTTCTCCAAGAGGGAAATCTACTGTAATTGTTAGCTAAAAATGTCACATAATAATTCTGGGAACATGAACCAAGATTACAGTCAATATTAGTACCTAAAGAATTGTTATAGCTGGAAGCTAAGAGCTAAGATTTGTGTTGTTTAAAGGATTATAGTAGATGGTCACCAAAAATTGATGAATATCTAAAAAAATGGGGAAATGAAGATTATGGGCTTGATACCTAACATGGTATTTGAGGAAAAATAGATATAAGTCTGGGATAGAGTTGTGTAATTTCTTATCCCAAGTTATCATGGCAGTGGGAATCATTACCGCATGAACATTGAGGTGGGGGGATTCACTCACCCCCCTTTTTGTTGTGTTTATTTAGTTAGCCTTTTTTTGACAAGTTTATATATATATACCTAAGTGGCAAACACACACATACATACAAATCCACACAACAAACAAATAAAATCACTTAAAAGAATCTAATTGAGGTTCCCATGAAAATTATCCTAATCCTAATCCCATGATAAATATACCCACAGAGACTTCACTAACATCCTAGCCCCAATGCACAGGGTAGAAAAGTCAAGTCTTTAATTCTTGTGGAAGACCACGTGGTTAGGCCATCTAAACATGATGAAGTGGTTATTCCATATGACTGCCCCCATGGCAGAGAAGGCACGCTCCCTAGGTCCCAACAAATGACACTACTTCACCAAGGGGAACCCAACCATGTCTATTTTGTCACATCTGATGACACAGACAGACATGAAAAGCAATAGCCAATCCTGCAAGTAACTGGGATTCATGCCATGTAGGGCTTCAACGCTAATAGTTGGCATCTTAGATTACACCCATATTATATGTGGTGGACATGTGTAGAGGCAAAACTATTGGACAAAAATACAAATATGGTTGGAAAAGATGGCAATGCAGTATATTTAAAACCAGAATTTTTTTGCTGGGGATTTTGCCCAAACTTTACAGTGAAAGAAATGCATATTTAATTATACATGTATTAACTGCAGCTAGAATTGTATTTCAACAAAACTGGAAAAGCAATGAGAGTCATACAGATGACAATGTGATTAGGAAAATATTAGAATGTGCAGAAATGAATAGATTAACCCTTGTATAAAATAGAAAGAACAACCGGAATATTATATGACATAGGAGTTATTTTATGGATGGCTGGAGAATAAAAATAGAAGTGAGAAATAAATAGAGAGTAGTGAAATAAAGAATATATGTTAAGATAGAGATGTAAACAATACGATGATTATTATACTATATGATTGTTAAGATGACTATATTCAATATAATATTATGTTGTCATTAGAAGATATGTTAAGAGGAAGAAATGAGTAGTTATAATGCTAATTATTAATATTGTAAGATTAATCTTGATTGTAATGTACAGAGACATTTGTACCCAGATGACACACTGTTTATTGGAAGATGATATGTTCAAGTTAAAAAATAAAAATAATAATTAAAAAAAAAGATTACACCCAGAAGACCCTGAGGAGCTAGTAGATCTCATATTAGAGTGATGTTAAATGGGTGTGCTGCGATATATCCAATATTGAACAAATGTTTCATGTGAAGCCATTCTTTATCTGGATGAAATAATATCTGCAAGATGTTGGGGACATATAGGGAGCTGCACTACAGATAGGCAATAGAGAAACCCATTTGGTGTAAGAGTTAAGGCACTAGGCTAGAAACAAGCAGACCATAAATTTTACAGCCACCATCAGCACAAAGGCAGCTGGGTAATTTTGGGCCAGTCATTTTCTTTCATCCCTAGGAAATATGCAAAGTCAAACTACTTTGCAGTCTTGTCACAAAAGATATTAGTCCAAGCCATTGGCAGGAATCAGTGTTGACTGGAAGGCACACACAAACTGATTGTGTTGGAGTGCTGCACTAAGTATAGAAAGGCCAGGATTTCATTCTCTACTTAGCTAGGAAGCTCACAAGATCAACCTGGAACAATTATTCTTAGTGGACCCACATCATAAAAGGCAGAGTTACACTCTTTTCGGAGAGCTGGTTAGGCTGAATATGTAGTTGTAGCTTATCCCATCTGGGAAAAGCTGCTATAGATTTTCTTTTCCACAGCCCGTTTCCATTACAGTAAATTGACCTAAAAAATGCCCTCAAGCTTGTTTTTGCCATAAGACAGAAGGAAAAAACATGCTTCCAAGGAAAAGGTTCAGAGCATCTGGAGCTTTAAGAGTTAGGGCTCAGTTGTGTTGGTGACAAAGAAGAGAAATAGACAATACTTGGGTGGTCCCAACAGTCAAGTACTGGTGGGCCAGTAGAGGTTTACTATCTCTTTACAATCACAGCCAATTTGCTGCTGACACCCAAGAGAGCAAAATAAACCCATGGCTGTTTTTCTAGAAAAGGATCAGCCTGTCTAAACTCCAGCAAAACCAGGCATTTTCAATCTCCTTTTCTCCCACGTACAGAAGTTAACACAAACAATATCACTATCTCACCTCATCTCGCCCACAAGTCTGACGTCTACAAGAGGGATAAAATCCTAATTTATCTCCTACACATGTTTGTGCAATTCTTTGTCCCCAGATATACTCGTGTTGAATTCCCATGCCTTCAAAAATGCATGCAGATCAGCACTTTTTCACCCATGCATCCATGTACAAGTGTTTTGTATGTATATCTGTGGAAATGGAGACACATACCATGGTACAGTACATGGTGAAAGTTTAGGTGAATTATAGCCTGTTGTATTTTATCTTTGTTGCTTTTTTATGGCTGAATACACACACCCTGTTTATTATCTAAAGTATGTGGAAAGGTTTGCATGTTTGCATTTACTCTTTCAATCCACAAAATGCACAACCTTTGCTATTGCATGCTACTTTAGACATAGGATCCACTCAGAATTTCAGGAGTATGCTTGAATGCATTCAAAGTAGCCCATCTGTTGTGCTGTAAAGGGAATTTAACTCCCTTTTCCATCACAACAAACCAAGACCTAAGCAATTAGCTTTACATGAGCAGTCCTGCAGCCTGTGCTAGAAGCTGGCTTAACTCTTTCCCTTGCGCAAAGAAGATGATTGGAAGCAGGAGGGGGATCTATTTCTTCACCCAGGTCCATATCTTCCTGCCCGTGGCTTACTAACTTCATTGTAACATCAAAGGTCTATTCATGACTGTAGCTCGGAAAAGGAGGTCAGTCAAATGGACAAGAAACTGCTGTGTTGCACCTGCTAAGGAGACTAGATAATGTTGCAAGATGCTTCTTCCACTGAAGCCCATGTGATTCATCCATATTCATTGATCTCAAACAATGTCAGTGAAGAAATCGTTGCACTGGAGAGCCAACAGCCTTAAGGGGTCACTCTAATGCCCTTCCCTAAGACTCCTTTTGTTTTCAGTGAGCATATCCACAAAGCAAGGATACTTCCAGGGATATGATCTGATTATTATTTGCTTATATATATGGCTTTTTCCTTAAAGGTATTTTGCATATGCATATCCCTCCGAAATACACATTTTTCATATATATTTTCATGTGGGAGAGTGTACTGCAAGATTTTGAAAAGGATACTGTACATAGGATACTGTATTTTTCAGAGTATAAAACTTACCTTTTTCCCTCAAAAAAGAGGCTGAAAATCTGGGTGCGTCTTATACGTCAAATACAGCATTTTTTGCCTCCCAAAACCCCACCCCTTCACCAAAATGGCTATGCAGAGCCTGTAGAAGGCTTTCAGAGAGCTCCTGGGGGCTGGGAAGGGCAGAAACAAGCACAAAATGGGCTGTTTTTTGCTCAATTTTGCCCCCCAGCCTCCAGGAGCACTCTATAAGCCTCCATAAGCTATGCATGCAATTTTCTTGAAAAAAAACGGACCCGCTTTCATGAAATACGGGCCATTTTTTGCTTGTTTTTGCCCCCCATCTCTCCCCAGGAGCACTCTGCAAGCCCCCCAAAGGCTATTCATGCCTCTTTTTTTGAAAAAGAATGGGCCTGTTTTCACGAAAAACGGGCCGTTTTTGGGAGGTTTGCAGAGTGCAAAACCTTTTTCCCCCCTTTTGGAAAGCTCTTTAGTTAAAGTAATTGATGAGAATTAGATTGATCAAGTGCTGTGCCAGCAGAAACAAAGTCTTAGGTGCTGCAGATTGTCAGCGATTTCCTTCTCCAGCACATGGATAAATACACCTGGAAACATTATCTCTTTCCCTACCTATCTACTGTATTTCTCTCTTCTCTCTCTCTCTCTCTCCCTCCCTCCCTACTGTATCTCTCTCTCTCTCTCTCTCTCTCTCTCTCTCTCTCTCTCTCTCTCTCTCTCCCTCCCTCCCTCCCTCTCCCTCTACCTACCAACCTATCTACTCTCTCT